TCACCGCCCTCACGGCCCTCACGCCACTCACCGCCCTCACGCCACTCACCGCCCTCACGCCCCTCACCGCCCTCACGCCCCTCACCGCCCTTGCGGCACTCACACCCCTCACGCCCCTCACGCACTCATGACCATCACGCCACTCAGGCCAGCTTCAGATGGGGCGATTTCGCCCAGAAACTTTACGTCGCAACACCAGCAACACGGGCCGCCCGCCATCGCACGCAGCAACCAATTGCTGCAATTTGCCATCGTCATCATAAAATTTTATTTTTCTTGCACTATTTAAACACAATTACGCGTTATAAACGTGTTTTTATGCATTTAAACCTCGTTAAGAATGCTAATGCACCTTTCTGAAACAGTTTATTTCCAAAAAACGATCGAGTTCAAACCAGAACCAAGTCTTTCGGTGTCATAATCACCGGCACGAGGTATTACGTGAAAATTTTGCGTCCCTGATTGGATGCAGCCGCTTCAAATGTATTCGAATTGCTCCGATTTGCTTGCTTATTTCGAGCCGGACCCGATCTCAGCAATTCGTGTCGATCTAGGGAAAGCTGGAGAACAACCCGCCATTAACACCAAAATTGCTGAGAAAGATGCTCGATCTGAAGGGGTCTCACGCACTCACCGCCCTCATGGCCCTCATTGCCCTCACCGCCCTCACCGCTTTCACCACCCTCACCGCCCTCACGGCCCTCACGCACTCATAGCCCTCACGCCACTCACCGCCCTCACCGCCCTCACGGCCCTCACCGCCCTCACCGCCCTCACGGCCCTCACCGCCCTCACAGCCCTCACGGCCCTCACTCACCCTCACACTCATGAATTTTCCTGGTTCAGAAACTCACTCATCCTCACCTCACCTGTGAGGATGAGGGTGAGTGAGGGTGAGTGACGGCCCTCATGAGTGAGGTTTGCCGAGGTATGCCCGCAATACATTCGATGATTTACTTCATAGTATCACTCACTTATTTACTCTGCGCTGTGCGGTCGCACACGTTAATGGGCAGCCTCGGCAAAATGAATTTGGAGCCGCGGATATCCGGATCCGAAGCCACGAATATCCGCATCCGATCCGCAATCCGCCAAATCTGATTCTTTTTACCCGAATCCGCCAGCTTACGGATATACCCGCGGATATCCGCGGATAGGTCCATGAGTGTTTAGAAGTGGTTTTAGCTTACAAACAAACGGAAAAGCTGTTTTTATAGGAACTTTTATTGGAGAGTAGTACAGAGTGACAGGAGCGCTGAAAAAATTTAGTTTACAAGGTTTTGCGGCACAATTAATATTGTGTGTACGCAATCATGGCGTCTCACCAGGGATTTCAGGTAGCGCGTCCGGGCCCGGGCGTGTCCTAACTGCTGTGGTAATCCGTGGCGCGTCCGGTTGGGAGACGGGGGTCGGCAGACGTGAAACCCTTACCACCTTCTATTCGGTGCAAAAATGGCCGATCGAAGCTAAATTTGAACAGCAACAGCGGACGGTATCGAATGCGGTAACTCTGCCAAAATACAGTGACTCTAGTTCCAACCGGTGGCATTCGTCCGTAAGCGTTGCTGTCGGTCTGAACGGAAGTGTGTGAGCGGGCCTTTAAGGAGAAAGAGAGAACAGGAGCCGAACAGCCCTTGGCTAAATTTCTTGTCAACCACCCTTCGGATGGTTGACAAGCATTGCGCTGTATCAATAACCACAAACGCCACTCAGATTTCTGTTGACTGAGTACGGTTCATCATCTCCATTTTCTCTGTCTGATCTCTTTCCTAATAAAAAAAAAAATCAAGCGGGGGATCTCTTAGTTTGTTAACAACAATGCCGGAACGGCGACGAACGTGTTTGCCAAACGAAGTGTCCGCGGGAACAGATTGGAACCTTCAAACTCGCAGGACCGCTATTGTTTTGCAGCGTTGACTGAGCTAGCTTCCCTTACAAGAGAAACGTATGTCGCATATGTCATACATCACCTACTAAGAGATCTATAGCACATATTTTTAGCGATATTGAACGCGACACAATCGTGTTTTAAAAGCGTGCAAAGGCCGGATCATTAATGGAGGTGGTGTGACCTTTCGTTGTAACGAATAGACAAACCGATCAGAGTATAGCTCATTACAAAATATACACGCACTCTGTGTCTATCTTCTTTTTACGAACTAGTTTTTAAACAAAAATCTACCTAATCATAAGCTGTTCTCTGACATGCACGGTAATTACTAACTATTTAGCAAGTTCTTAAAGCCTGTGTTTTTAACCTACGTAGTAAGTCGCGTTCGACGGTTATATCGTGCAAGATTAAACGGACCTGTTACGCCGAGTCTTTAGGAAGTTTGTTTCATGAGCGCACTCTTTACATTTCGTGGATGATTTTTCCAACTCAGAGCACGCGGCATCTCCCCAAATTCGGTTTACCCTAAAACTCACCCAACGCCTTTTGCAAGGTTTCAGCTTCTCTGCGGTTTTTCTGAAGGCATGAATGAGGCGAAACTCATCTAAACCTATGAGTGCTGTCATGCACGTTGATAACATTATCAGGCTACACCAAAAACTTGACAAAATAGAGTTTGATTTACGATTTTACGTGTGTTTGGCAAATTACGCTTCTCACTCAATTTTCTGTCATGACTGAGTTGGTCTTCATAAACTTAACTCTGCTGACTTTAAAAGGGGAAATTAAATAAACAGGTATTTAGACCCCACCCCTGTCGGTTGCAACTTCTGAGGTATTTTTCTTCTTTGCTTTATTGGCGTGGGCACACATCAGTATTTTTTATTTTTTATACTTGGTAGGACCGTTTTCTAACGCGTGCGTTGCTGTTTTCTGCATATTGATTGCTTTGTATAACACGTACATTCTTTTCCCACCCAAAAACTCACCGGACAATACATCGCCGAATGAAATCTCTCCAGACAAATGCTCGCCGATTTTTCACACACCAACGGACCAAATCTCACCATATTCTAATAACCCGGAACAAGGGCTCACCAATCGCAAAATTGTTTCTTCTCACAAATGACGACTCCTATTTCGTATTTGCCGGGACCCATATTTTTGTTCAGAAGGATACGCTAAACTCCACCATCTTATTGTAGCACTTAGAAATGTGAGTATAACCGAGAAGGAAGGGCAGAATAGAAAACTAAAAGGCCGTTTGTGAGAGGTAGAACTGCGTGATAAGCGTAGTACAGAATAACGCGACTTCAGCAGTGAGTACCGTTCCACGCAAATAAATATCTTCAACAGCAAGACAGGACCGACTGGATACTGCGTTCGTGCTATTTTGGTTGCCTTAAATAAATATTTGTCGTTCAGGAACTAAAATATATAATGTTGTCTTCCTGACGTTGACTAAAAAAAAAAGGTCGCGGGCGGGGGGGGAGGCTCTAACATATTTTGTATTTAAATTGCCAATTATTCATATTTTCATAAAAAAAAACAATGTCGACTGCTTTTGGTAGCTTAAAAATACGATGGCACAGAATATTAACACCGGCATGGGTTGTTGCTACCCTTCAAAATAACATGGCAGCGGCGATAAGCAATTTCACATCTTGAGGGTCAATGGACCATCAAATTGTGAAATTGCTTATCACCGCTGCCATGTTATTTTAAAAGGTAGCAACATCCCTTGCTGGTGTTAATATTTTGTGCCATCGTAATTTTCAATTACCAAAAGATTTGCAAAAATGACGCCACAATATACACATTCTATTCAAATTTGATTCTGACCAGTACCAGCGAGGCCGGTGAAAGTTCGACCTAATTATCTTCATTGATATTTGGTGCTGTCTCATAACCTAAGCGTAAGCATGACATTATCAAACAGTGCGCCGACGAAAGGCAAGTGCAACAATAATTATAATGATCGAGCGGCAACAGTTATTTTTTGGTGAGCATTTGTCCGGTGAGCTTATGTCCAGTGAACTGAACTATGATTATGTTTGACTTTAAGCTGCTCTACAATTTTGGTGTTGTGTGTGTGTCTAACCAGGTTATATTTCTTAAGATAAATGATATCTACGCAGAAACGTATAGTTCTTAGTATTACGGTGAGTTTTCTTTTAATTTAAAAATGAGATGCGTTTTTTTTTTGTCTGCATAAACACCCACCCCCTTCGCCCCTCGCTTTCTTGACATGGTTAACTTCTCCAACTAACATTTAATCCTACCGATATCCTTATGAGTTTTTGTCATATCCTGTTGTAAAATCGCCGATGCTATAATAACAAAAAATTTCACTGGAAGAAAAAATATTGGATATCTTGACTTGCGTCTGCCGAGTCAAGATATCCAACGCTTGAAGAGATACATTATTGGACCTCCTGACTCGATGTACTCTTGGCTCGTTGGACCACTTGGTTTGTTTGACCTCTTGGCTCGTTGGATCTCTTGGCCTGTTGGACCTCTTGACCCACATCGGGTCACTTGATTCGTGTGTGGCGCGTCAGAAGGTCGAACGCGCCAAGAGATTCATTATTGGACTTTTTGACTGGGCGGATCTTTTGACTCGTTGAATCTTATGCTCAGAAGCGCCCGGCCACGGCGTAGGTTGATGGAATAGAATGGAATGAACACGAGCTTCCCAGCAACTACCTTAAGGAGTTTATTAATTTTATTGTATCGACGCTTATCGAAGCAACTCTTGTGAGAAACGTTTGCCGTGGGAAAAGTTAGTATTGCCATTGGCAATTTCCGCGTGCCGAGTCTAGTTAAATAAAACGCATGAGTCAAATGTAAAACTTTTATTTGTACCTCACAGAATTCATGGAATGGGATACAGGTACCAAATAGAACACATTTATTTTTTACTCACAGATCGCCGCATCGACGCGGCCGCACTGGAAATGCAATGCGTTTCCGTATTGCAAACGCATCGGCTCAGGTTAAGCCATGTCAGTGTCGGGCGTACTTCGATAATTTTGTAAGGTGATTACCTCTTGAGTGGAAGGAAATACTTAATGATTTGGGAAATACTTAATGATTGGGGCACGACACAACCATGCCGAATCTAACGCAGTTCATACCACAGGTGCTGCTGCTCGTCATCGCTGCACCAACAGCTTCACCGATTGCCTTTGGCGCGGACGTCACCCACGTGATTGGTCTCGCTGGAACTACCCGGGAGGAATCCACGGCTGCGTCATCTGTGACGTGGTACAACATCGATGACTTCCGCACGGGGGCGCACCGGGGAACGCTTCCGTTTCCGTCGACTGGCTGTTGTCTACAAAAGGATCTACCACCCTTGCAAGCATCGGGGCACGACACAACCATGCCGAATCTAACGCAGTTCATACCACAGGTGCTGCTGCTCGTCATCGCTGCACCAACAGCTTCACCGATTGCCTTTGGCGCGGACGTCACCCACGTGATTGGTCTCGCTGGAACTACCCGGGAGGAATCCACGGCTGCGTCATCTGTGACGTGGTACAACATCGATGACTTCCGCACGGGGGCGCACCGGGGAACGCTTCCGTTTCCGTCGACTGGCTGTTGTCTACAAAAGGATCTACCACCCTTGCAAGCATCGGGGCACGACACAACCATGCCGAATCTAACGCAGTTCATACCACAGGTGCTGCTGCTCGTCATCGCTGCACCAACAGCTTCACCGATTGCCTTTGGCGCGGACGTCACCCACGTGATTGGTCTCGCTGGAACTACCCGGGAGGAATCCACGGCTGCGTCATCTGTGACGTGGTACAACATCGATGACTTCCGCACGGGGGCGCACCGGGGAACGCTTCCGTTTCCGTCGACTGGCTGTTGTCTACAAAAGGATCTACCACCCTTGCAAGCATCGGGGCACGACACAACCATGCCGAATCTAACGCAGTTCATACCACAGGTTTGTTACTTGAAATACGCGAAATGTTATCGTTCCAATAACATACTGCTCTTAGAGGTGTCGTGCCCCATCGACCTAAAGCGTCTACTAACCCTTTGTTGCAGCGCTGTAACCTTTGTGTTCAATTGTTTACTTTCGTTACCCCATGATGGCTGCCTTCTTTTCCTTGACGCGTTATTGCTGCTTTGCGGAGACGTCGAGCTCAACCCTGGCCCTACTGATATGGAAAAATTGAGCAAACTAATTGAAAACCTGGCGTCGACCAATGACAAGTATCAAAACGAAACACGCGAAAGACTGAGCGGCATCAGTTCAGGGATCGACGAACTAAAGCAGAAGGTAGCTACTCTCGAGAAGCAAATGCAGGAAATAAACGGAATTAAGGAAAGGCTTGCCGTGGTCGAATCTTCCTTGCACGAAGTTCAAAGAGAAGTCTGTCACTCGCATGATAAAATAGACGCCCTTGACGCTGGTATCGACGACCTCAACAACAGAATGAGGCGGAACAACTTGTTATTTAGGGGCATCCCAGAGTAACAAAAGGAGACGTGGGAAGAAACGGCTTGCCTCATAAAAGAATTCGTTAATAACCATCTGGGTATAGAGACTGGGGAGATAGAACGTGCACATCGCGTCGGCCAAAAGCGCGGGGTAACTGCTCGACCGATTGTAGTGCGCTTCTTAGACTACAGGAATAGACAAAACGTGCTGAATAACGCCAGTAAACTGAAGCATTTAACTTCATTGAAGGTGTCTATCTCGGAGGACTTTACTGCTAGGGTTTGCTTCCACCGGAGCAAATTGTGGCACTTTAGTAAGCAGTTCAGAGAAAAAAACATTAAAGTGAAACTCGTGTACGACAAACTTTATGCTGATGGCAAGCAATATTCATACTGTTCCGACAGTGACGAGATTATTTTGCTTAACAACTTCCAAACCACAAATTTGGCGACTACTTGACAACCTGATAAAACATCTAGACATGAGTGTGTTGATCTCGGAGTGCTCGTGGCGAATTTTCGTAGTTTTTTACCTAAACAAGATATTTTTTTGTCAACTGTGAATGACACGGACGCAAAAATTGTTATCGGGACAGAAACGTGGCTATATCCGGAGATAAACGATGGCGAATTATTTTTTAATCAATCATTTCATCTATTTCGAAAAGACCGCACACATTCCCGTGGTGGCGGCATTCTTATCGCTATCAGCAAAATGATGGATGCTTCCCTTATATCTTTAGATAGTGAACTAGAAATTTTGTGGGTACGCTTGAGTCACCCTTCGTTGCCCATCATTGTTGGCGCCTGCTATCGCCCTCCAGGCCGAGATAGTACTTTTGTTACGAAGCTGCACGCTTGCATGGAGCAAATTTTTTCTTTATTTCCCAGTAGTACTGTTATTTTTGGCGGCGATTTTAATTACCCCGGGGTCAACTGGAAAGAGGAAGAAATAAACTCTTGGGTGGCCCATTCAGAAGTGTCCAGTTTTGTTGACTTGATGAATAGCTACGGTTTAACTCAAACTGTATTGGAACCCACAAGAAATAATTCTGTTTTGGATCTTGTTTTTACCTCGAGTGCAGAAAATGTAAAATCGGTTCGTATTCTTGAGAAAATCAGCGACCATAACACAGTCCTAGTAGAAATGTCTCTGCCAGTAATAGGTAAAAAAATAACCCCTAAAACCATAAACGTCTACAGTAGAGTTAATGAAAACGCTCTAAACGAGTCCTTTGAGCTGTTTGCTTCGGAATACGAGCTGCATTTTAGCGAAAGAACAGTCGAGCGCAACTGGGAAATGCTCAAAAATGAATTTAGGCGTATAAAGTCTGATTTTGTACCTCAGATGGTTTTAAGGACGAGTGCTGATCAACCATGGTTTACAAATATCCTTAGGAAAATAAATAACAAAAAGAAACGTCTTTATGTCAAAGCAAAAATTACAAACCTTGCGTCTGACTTCACTAAGTATAATGACTGCTGTAAAGAGTTTAAAAGTAACATCAAGAAGGCAAAGGATAAATATTACAAGCAAGACCTACTTAACTTATTAATAAACAATCCCCAAAAATTTTGGAAAAGTATATGTCCGAGAAAAGATGATTCGCTTCCTAAATTGTGCAACGAACACAACGAAGTGCTAACGAACCTTGAATCAGCTACCGTCTTTAATAACTACTTTGCATCCGTATTTACCTTAGAACAATTACCTGTACCCAGTGATCAAATATGTAAACCAATTAACGTCTACTGTGAACCTATCACTTTTAACCCCTATGGCATTTTGAGTGTGATAGAAAGGCTCTCCCGAAGTTCAGGTCCTGGTGATGACGAAATCTGTCCTAAACTTCTCAAATTAACAAAGAACATATCCTGTCGCCTTTTGTGTCGCTTGTTCCAACAATCGCTCGACTTAACTTCCCTTCCCGCAGACTGGAGATTCGGGAGAGTTTTACCCATTTTTAAGACCGGCAATAAAAACGACTCATCAAATTATAGACCCATATCACTAACTAGTGTGCCTTGCAAGATTATGGAACATGTCATCTACTCCCACATTATGAACTATATGTCAGAACATCAATTAATATGTAATAGTCAGCATGGCTTCAGGAAGGGATATTCATGCGAAACCCAACTTTTTGAGTTCGTTACTGATCTACATAACAACTTCCACTCGTCTCACCCTACTGACGCCATCTTCATTGATTTCTCAAAAGCATTCGACACGGTTCCTCACCAACGTCTCCTATATAAACTTTCAAAACTAAACATTCACCCTTCTATTATCCACTGGATCGCTCAATTCTTAAGTAACCGTAACCAGGCTGTCCACCTGGGGCAGGACAAATCACCTAGCCTTCCCGTAATATCAGGTGTTCCGCAGGGCAGCGTTTTGGGTCCGCTTTTATTTCTTATCTATATTAATGACCTTCCTCTCCATATAACATCTTCCATAAGGCTTTTCGCAGATGATTGTGTTATTTATCGTCGTATTACTAAACCTGAAGAGTCCTTAATATTGCAGCAGGATTTAAATATGTTTTCACTATGGTGTAACACATGGCAGATGAAAGTTAATGTCACCAAGAGTAAACTATTAACATTCACTGGCCAACGAACGCCTGCAATACGAAATTATACATTACAAACTCTGCCTCTCGAAAAAGTGTCCAGCTACAAATATTTAGGTGTAACATTTTCAGACGACCTAACCTGGAATACCCACCTTAACACTGTAGTTTCTAGTGCTTGTAAATCTCTAGGATATATCAAACGTAACCTTCACAGTACCCCGCATTGTGTTAAACTAACAGCCTATAAATCCTTTGTGAGGGCTAAATTGGACTATGCCAACTTTATTTGGTGGCCGCATCAAGCTTACCTTATTAACAAACTTGAATCAGTTCAGAATAAAGCATCTCGCTTCATATCTCATGACTACTCACGGACATCAAGCGTAACCGCACTTAAAACAAATCTAGACCTTTGCCCACTGGCCGAAAGAACTAAACTTGCTCGTCTTGTCATTTTCCACAAAATCTACTATTCCTCTTCGTCATTCCGAAACCATTACTGCCAACCTCCATCTCACATCTCCTTACGTCGTGACCACAGCCAGAAAATAAACCCTCTATTTGCGAGAACTAATAAATTTCAAAATTCCCCGCTCTCTCTAGCCATCAATAACTGGAATTCTCTTCCTGAGGCTATTGCTCTCGAAAATAATCCAGCTAAATTCCGCGATCTTTGCAAGGCACACCTCAAAAGTGTTTTTCGTTAGTCTAAATGTTTATGTCGGTAGCTAGTCATTAGTTTTCTTTTTTTTTTTTTTTTTACCATGATATGCATCCTGATGCGATTTAACCCTAGCCATTTTTCGGCAAATATTACTATTTGTATTTGTTTGTGAATCTACTTTTGCTTTTGTTTGTTTTTATGTGAGTTTGTATTCTTATCCCCCCTCATGTAATGCACTTCGGTAGAAGTGCCTTTGAGGTATAATAAAATGAAATGAAATGAAATGAAATTTATTTCTATGATGTTTACTTTGGTCTTTTTGTTTTCTACTTTTCACACACACGCACATATATATATATATATGTATATATATATACATATATAACGGGCATGGTGGCGGGAGGCCGAAGGCGTGGGTATAAAACTGAGAAGAAAAAAACCCTTAGTGAAAAACAGCAACAACGGACGATTTAATCTTCGACGTTTCGGCCGGAGTCCGGCCTTCGTCAGGAAGATCTTCCTGACGAAGGCCGGACTCCGGCCGAGACGTCGAAGATTAAATCGTCCGTTGTTGCTGTTTTTCACTAAGGGTTTTTTTCTTCTCAGTTATATATATATATATATATATATATATATATATATATATATATATATATATATATATATATATATATATATATATATATATATATATATATATATATATATATGTACGGTAAGAAGGTTCAACGGGCCGGTTGGACGTAAAACGAAAGTGGAGGAGATCCAGGAAAGGCCTTTCTTTACTGCACCGACGTTTCAAGCGGGGACCGCTTTTCTTCAGGGTGAATGGTTGTGAAATGTCCTCTTCTTCTTGTTGATGTTCGTGTGGAAGAGGAAGAGTTACTATGAAGGGTATTAAAAATATTCAGAACAGGAGCAAAAAAATTATCGTAAATCTTTGATATTAGTAATTATAAACAATGTTAATCCAATTCAATAAAACGAAATAAATTGATTTGTAGTATTTGGCACAGTCTTTGTTACAGCTCCTGAGCACAATCACCCCCGAGCAACCGGAGCGCATACAAAAGTAGCAATGAGGATGTGTTTGGGATTAGCACCGCTAAGGGAGCGGAGATCTAGACCACGCAAGGGTGCCGTGGCGGTTTTTTATGAAGTATTTATGTCATATTTGAATGATGCTTACGCGCCCAAGAATTTAACGCAGCGGAAGGATTACCCCGGGACGCACGCTCACGAGGATGTTCACGAGAGGCGTGGAACGAGCTCACGATGCAAGGCGCCTTTGGTGCAACAATGTCATCGACACGCTCGGCTAGTACAGTCCGTGCAAAACCAAAATAATTGTGTGGCCTCGGCCCTACACACAGCATGGCAGCCAAGTGAGCACGCCTGGACTTGCATTAATACCACAAGCAACTGAATTGAATTTGTGAATGAATAAAGCCTCCTTCAACTCTCTGTCGTGATCAGAGCTAGATCCAGATTCCAGAAGGATGACACGTATTTTTTCAATGCTATGCTCTTTAAGATGCATGTGTTTTGAGAAGGGGAGCGTGGGTAAGGACTTGATATGAGACTTGTGATTGTTGAAGCGCAACCAAAATGAAGTACTGGTTTGTCCTATATAATCCATGTTACATAGTTTACAGCGTAAAAGATAAATAACGTTACGCGTACCGCTTGACAGGTTTCCAACTGCTGCTTCGCCTAGCTCGAGAAGTCACTTCAATCCATCTGGTTCTCCCCCAGCAACGCAAACAAGCCCTGGCGCTCTTCAAGCACAGCCCGCTGGTCTTGTGTCTGCGGCCGTGAGGGCTACAACTCTTCGAAGAAGCCCTGACGCTCTGCGGGCACAATGCATATTACCCGAATCTTCATCGACCAGTGCCTCGGCCGCGCGAAGGAACCCCGACGATCCGGCTCCAAGTATCCCGGAGCCTGGTCCCCGGACACCGGCCAGGGTAATCGAGCCTGAGCCCATGAGTGCTCCAGCGCAGAGCCCTCTTCCTTCCACTTCGCGGGCTCCTTCGGGTCCATGCGTTGCCCTATCTTCGGAAGAATTTCCCAGCCTGCCTCTATCTTCATCCCAGCCTAAGTCGGGAATCCCTTCTGCTCCGACAACTGACCCGACGCCCCGTCACCCCTACAATCTGCGGAGTTCGTTCTGACTCGCTGGGACAACAGGTACTATCACCCCCGAGCAACATCATT